ACTCCAGCTTTCCCTTGCTGGGGACAGAAGTGAGCTGTTTAAACTAGGATATAAGATGACAGGTGACTAATGCCTTCTGTTGCTCTTATTTTTCTTCCCAGGCAAACTTGCACTTAAACAACTCAAATAGAAATCAAAATCCTCCACCAATAAAAAACAATCAAGTCAGTCAATACAAATAATTACTAATATTGGAGTTGCTTGAGAGGGCTGGTGGCATTCTGTAAATTCCATTCGTCATTCATAGAACCTAGGAGCATCAGAGGCTCCTCTTATAACTTTAAAATAGAGCCAGAGGAACCGCTCAGGGCTGAAGAACACTTATTAGTCATCCAGAGAATATGAGTCAGAGCCCAGAACCCATGTAGGGAGGTTCACAACTGCCTGTGTTTCTGCCTCTATGGCATCTGGCCACCAAGAGCTCCCTACCACACACACACAGGTGACATACATCCCCACAGACACACACATACATAAACACAAACTCATGAATTAAAAAAGTACTAAAAATCAAGCTTTTTTAAAACTTAAAAATGATTCCAGGACAGCCTCCAAAACAATACAGGAAAAACAAACAAACAAACAAAAAACAATTTAAAAATGGCAGCTCTGTCTCGAAAAACAAAAACAACTTAAAATGGAAGGTCAGAGAGATGGCTCAGCAGTTAAGAGCACTGGTTGCTCTTCCAGAAAAATGGAATCTGGTTCCCAGCACCCATATGATGGCTCACAACTTTTTGCAACTCCGAGGGAATCCAATGCCTTCCTCTGGCCTTCAAGGACACTTCATAAACAGACATACATGCAGGAAGAACACTCTTATACCAAAAGTTAAAATAAAGGTTAAGGGCTGGAGAGATGGCTCAGAGGTTAAGAGCACTGACTGCTCTTCCAGAGGACCCGAGTCCAATTCCCAGCAACCACATGGTGGCTCACAACCATCTGTAATGAGATCTGGTGCCCTCTTCTGGCCTGGAGGCATACATGCAGGCAGAACACTGTATACATAATAAATACATCTTCTAAATAAATAAATAAGGGTTAAAAATTCTTTTTAACTTAAAGATGATGCCAAATGTTAGGTATAGAGGTGACATCCCAGCACTCAGAAGGATGAGAAGCTTAAAGCCAGCCTTGGCTACATGAGACATTGTCTAACAACAACAACTTACATGAAGCATACCACCCCACTCCTGTTTTGTTTTCAAGACAGAGTTTCTCTGTGTAGCCCTGGCTGTCCTGAAACTCACTCTATAGACCAGGCTGGCCTTGAACTCAGAGATTCACCTGCCTGTGCGCCACCACCCCACTCTTTAAAGGGTCTTGTAGGAAACTGGACGTTGGTAGCGTACTTGCCTGGCATGTGTTAAGCTCTGGATCTGATCCCCAGCACCAGCATGAAACTGGGTGTGATGACTCGCTCCTACAAACCCAGCACTTGGGGGTAGAGATGGGAGGATCAGAAGTTAAAATTTTCCTCAGCTACAGTGGCTTCATGGCCAGTCTAGAATGTGTGAAACCCTGCACCAGAACAAAATTTACAAATAGTAATGACAATTTAAACAAAGATGTTTCCTAATAGACATCAGTATAGGAAAGTGCCACTTCATGGGACCCCTGAGAGGGCTTTCAGATGAGAACTAACAATGGCCATGCTCCAAGTGTAATGCCAACTCGTGTTGTTGTACTACAAGAATTTTCTCCATTAAAAACACCCACTCCCACCTCCAGGAAAGAAGTCAACACAAAACAAACTATTTATTTCCACAAAACACAAAAGACAAAGAGAACAAGTAAATGTCAGAGTGGGATGGACCAAGAGAGCTAGTATGGTAGACAGAACTCAGGGTGTGGCACGAAATGCGTCAGATGTCAGTAGAACCCCTGATTCCTACAAGCTGGGTTTCTTCTGAGACAGTTTTCCATCACTGCGGCAAAAACACCTGAAATAAAGAGAGAGGAAAGGGTGTGGTGATTTTAGCTCCTTTTGTTTTGTTTTGCTTGTTTATTTTCAAGACAGGATTTCTCTGTGTAGTTCTGGAACTTGCTCTGTAGACCAGGCTATGATTTTAGTTCTTATACAAAACAAAGAAACAAGCCGGGCGTTGGTGGCGCACGCCTTTAATCCCAGCACTTGGGAGGCAGAGGCAGGTGGATCTCTGTGAGTTCAAGGCCAACCTGGTCTACAAAGAGAGTTCCAGGACAGGCTTCAAAGCCACAGAGAAACCCTGCCTCAAAACAACAACAAAATATTTCCTGGCATAATTGGCTCCCAAACCTAGCAACTGAGGCAGCCCTAGCCTAGGCCGTTCTCTAGATCGGGTAATAGTTAGCATTAGTAGATGGATTGGCGCCTTTCTTTCCTCTGAGTACTGGTTTTGAGAAAACAATTTTGATACTATAATGTCTGGTTCCTTCATCTGCCACTTCCTGTTCAGAATCTGTCCCTTTTGATGCTGCTTTTTTTTTCTTTTTTTAAATAGGGTCTTATGTACCTCTAAGCAGCTGAGGATGCCCTGAATGCCTCATCCCCTTGCCTCTGCCTCCCAAGGCTGAACCACAGGAAACAGTTTTCGTTTTGTTTCTGTACTGCGGATTGAGCCCAGGGTCTCATGCATGTCGTTCCAGTGCCCTCCCTGTTGAGCGGCACCCCAGGTCCTTTGCTTTCTGCCTAGAGTGTGTCCCTGGCCATCTGGCAGCCCCTTGCTCCTCCATTCACATGTTCTCTGCTGGCTTTGTCTGTGGTTTTCCTGGCTGGGTGGGGAAAAGCCATATAATCTCCCACGTCCGTCCCTCAGGCTGGCCATGTGGGCTCTCACCCTCTCCTGCTGTGCGCCCCTCCCCCAAGCCCCTCTCATCCTCTTTATTCCACATACTTGACACATGAGGCAGTTTCCACTTGCAAAGAACAGCCAATCCCCTGGCTGATTCCAGCACCAGGAATGCCCAGGACAGAGCCAATAAAGTATGTGATTGGCAAGGGCTTCTCACCAAATATCTGAAGGACGTGGCGGCCCCAAATGGAAGACATGTCTCTGAACTGACTAGAGCTTGGGGCTCTTTACCAATGAAAAAGGACCAGACTGTGACCTGAAAAGCTATGAGACCCATGTGGGAAACAAGCCAACAACTCACTCTACACCCAGTGTAGAAAATGGCTTTTAGTTCAAAACCGAGTGCTTTGGTACCACTGTTACTCGTTTAATGTCCCTCTCTCAGCATTAGCTTTGACCAAAGAAAGCCTCTGGGACTAGAAACACATAGGCCCTCTATTAAAAGATCGCAAACCACCACTTTCACAGGAAATGCAACGACCAGGATGTCGAGAAAGCCTTGGTAACCGTCAAATAATATTAAGAAACACAGGCAGAGAAAGACTGAAATAGGACCTCTGTGTGGGGCTTCTAAAGGAACAATTGTTGCAAGACACTTGCTTACACTGTGTAAAGGTGTGCACTGTGATTGGTTTCATAAAAAGCTAAATGGCCAATAGCTAGGCATGGAGAATAGGCGGGACTTCCGGTCAAAGAGAGGAAAGAGGGGTAAAACCACAGAGGAGATGCTAGGAGACACAGAACAAGTTGGAGGTACACAAGGAAAGGAAGGTAAAAAGCCACGGGATAGAATGTTGATTAAGAAATATGGATTGGGGGCTGGAGAGGTGGCTCAGAGGTTAAGAGCACTGACTGCTCTTCCAGAGGTCCTGAGTTCAATTCCCAGCAACCACATGGTGGCTCACAACCATCTGTAATGACATCTGGTGCCCTCCTCTGGCAGAACACCGTATATGTAACAAATAAATAAATCTTTTAAAAAAAGAAATATGGATTAATTTCAGATATAAGAGCTGATTAGAAATAACCCTAAGCTATAGGCCAAGCTTTCAAGATTAATAAGAAGTCTATGCATCATTATTGGGAGCTGGCTGGCAGGACAAAGAATGATTCGTACAAACAGTAGCATGTGCAGAGGTATTTAGCTAACAAGGAGATGTGTTGCTTCATTGTGGGAGATATGAAATGACCAAGGGATGGATTCTGGATTGAAACAGAAAGAAATAGTGCCTGGCCAGTAGGAAGAATCTTCTTATGCATTCACTGTATAATAAACAGATAAATATGTGCACAGTTCTCCTCAACCCAGTATTTCAATTCTCACTGATAAATAAATTACTATTTCTCACCAGGATCTGTGCATTTCATAAGTTAATTCTAAATTAGTATATTTATTCAAACAGCTGAGCAGTGGTGGCACACACCTTTAATCCCAGCACTTGGAAGGCAGAGGCAGGCAGATCTCTGTGAGTTCAAGGCCAGCCTAGTCTTCAAAGAGAGTTCTAAGACAGTCCCCAAAACCACAGAGGAACCCTGTCTTGAAAAATAAAACAAAAACCAAAAAAAAAAAAAAACAATAGATTAATATATTTATTCAAACAGAGTTTTCTTTTTTCTTTTCTTTTTTTTTTCAGAAGAGTTTTCTATCAAGTCTCTCTTTAAGAAAAAAATTCCTGGGACCTGGCACACCGTAAAAGTGGCCTCTGATAACCTCTGTCTGGCCATTGGTGCTACACCTTCAAAGAGTGTAGACTAAGGAAAAGTTGAATTTTTAGAATGGATAAAACACAGTAGTTCAGTGGTTTTTGAAAAGCCTTTCTCAGTTGAGGAACTCATTCCAAGTTGGCAGGAGGATCTGTTCCATGTGGTCATTCAGAAAAGCAGGTTTTGTTTGGTTTTGTTTTTCCGTCTTCTTCTAGGATACGTTTCACTTACATGCTCAAAGCTGGATCTCATGCAAGTTCCTGTTCTCATTCAAGGAAAGGTAAAGCAGTCTGGATTAGGCAAACCAGTATCTTAAAATGTAGGAATAGAGCCAGGTATGGTGACACAGGCCTTTCTGAGTTCAAGGCTAACTGGTCTACAGAGTGACAGCCAAGGCTACACAGAGAAACCCTGTCTCGAAAAACAAAACAAAACAAAAAACCATCCCTTTTGTTCATACAGTGATGAAGTTACAGTCACATCTCTGGCAAGGAGACAAGAGACCCCTATCCTCAGATGGACAACTACTGCCCCCCACTATAAATATGCACCTGTGGGGACTGGAGAGATGGCTCACTGGTTAAGAGCACTGGCTGCTCTCCCAGAAGACTTGGGTTCAATTCCTTGCACCCACCTGGAAGCTCACAACCATCTGTAACCCAGAGGATCTGCTCTTCTGATCCCTGCCGGTACCAGCAAGCAGTGCACAGACTACAAGCAAGCAAAACACCCATACACGTAAATATAAATAAAATTTAAATGTGCCTATGGAAAAGGGAAGGGGAAATCTCTAGTAGAGTCCACTATGGAGACCCATCTGAATGAAGTTCCTTCCTTCCTTCCTTCCTTCCTTCCTTCCTTCCTTCCTTCCTTCCTTCCTTTCCTTTCCTTTCTTTCTTTTTCTTTTTCTTTTGGTTTCTCTGTGTAGCCCTAACTGCCCTAGAACTATCTTTGTAAACCAGGCTGGCCTCGAACTCACAGAGATCCGCCTGCCTCTGCCTCCCAAGTGCTGGGATTAAAGGCGAGCGCCACCACCATCTGGCCTGAATGAAATTTCTTGTTGCTAGGTTGTCCCAGAGACACCTCAGAGAGACCTTGTGCGGCATCTGAAGGTGGCTTTTGTCTGGGCTAGCACAGGCCCTGCACAGCTACACAATGAGGTCTTCCTTCCATCCCCAGTTCCGAGGAAGCTGTTAGGAAGGCGGTAGTTGCTGCCTGTTGTCTTTTGTCATCCTGATTTCCCTCTTGGGACATCCTTGATGCTCTCTAAGCAGAGTTATTCTACTCCCGGGTCCAGAGGGAGGAGGCCGTGTAACTAGTCACACCAATTAGACCATCGCTTTCCCTGACCATGGTGCTTTGCTTGGTGTTAGACCTACAAATTAGCCAATCATATGCCAGGAGAGCTTCCCTGGGCAACAGAAAGAAGAAAAAGCACCCCTCCTGTTGTTCTCTTCAAGCTCCCCGCTACTCTTGCTCTTTGTGGTTTTTCCAGACAGGATTTCTCTGTGTATCCCTGACTAACTCTGTAGATAAGGCTGGTCTCGAACTCACAGACATCTGCCTGCCTCTGCCCCTCCCAAGTGTGGGACCAAAGGTGTGCGACACTACTGCCTGGCTCAGGTTTCAAATGAGCAGAGTTAGACCCGAATCACTTGCAACCATCTAGTCCCTTCAAGAAGACAGACGGGCGGTGACCAGAGTTGACAGATTAAAAACAAGCTCTGGGATGATCTTTGAGTCACTGGCTCAAGTTCAGCCTCAACCAGAGCTACGCCTGACATGAGGTGAATTTTCTTTTCTTTCTTTTTTGTTCAAGATAGGGCCTTACCCTCTCTCTCCCTTCACCCCCTCTCTCCTCTCTCCTCCTCTCTCTCTCTCTCTCTCTCTCTCTCTCTCTCTCTCTCTCTCTCTCTCTCTCTTCTCCATTTCTTCCCTCTTCCCCTTTGTCCCCTCACCCCTTCCTCCAATAAACTCCACATGGGTTTGTTGGGAAAAAAAGAAAACGGATAGGGCTTTATGTGGTGTAAGCTGGCCTCGCACTCGTCATGGCTGAGGCTGGCCTTGGATTCCTGACCCTCCACCTCCCAAATGCACCCCTCTTGAGTTAGAGGTAAATTTTCTACCATTTTCTCCAACTAGAAGAGCAGTAACTGGCACAAGGGCTTCCTCGACCTAACCTTTCTTTTGCATGAAAGTTGGACTTCCCTTGGGAATGTGTGGCCCAACTTTACTCTGGATCTCCTCGGCTCTTTGGTCAGTGAACGAGACTACTACTTGCCATGGTTCGCAAACAGGCCCCTAAGTGGGTGTGTGGCAGTGTTGGGAGATAGTTCTGAGTTCATGGGAAAGAGGTACTACTAGGGTTTTATGAATGGAGGCCAGGGGTATACCTAAGTATCCTACAACATACAGTACAGCCCCTTCAGCAAAGAGCTGTCTGACCCAAAATGTTGTTAGTACCCTGTATCCTGGTCTCTTTGAGCAACCATAGCAGAATGCCTTAGACTAGGTAATTTATAAGCAACAAAAATTACTGCTCGACAGGCAGTGATGGCTCACACCTTTAATTCCAGCACTCGGGAGGCAGAGACATGCAGACATCTGTGAGTTCAAGGCCAGCCTGGTCTATAGAGACAATTCAATGTCAGGCTCCCAAAGATGTCCTGTCTTGGGGGGGGGGCAGGATGACGCCAACAACAACAAAAAGTTACTGCTCACCATTCTGGAGGCTGAGACATCCAGTATCAAGGCACAAGCAGATTTTTATTTACCAAGGCCTCGTTTCTCATATGTGGTACCTTCTATGGCTCTCCAAATAGAGATAGGGCCAATAAGCTCCCTCACTCTTGTTTAAGGGTCTACCCCCCACTCGTTGGGTCAGAGCCCTGATGCCCTAGTCACTTTCAGGTCAAAGGACTCGCCTCTCGATGCTGTGGCCTTGCTGGGGCAGCTAGCTTTCCACGTGTGGCTTTGGGAGAAGCACCAGTTCTCAGACCATAGCATCTTGCTGATGCCACATAACCCATTTACTTCAGACAAATGTGCTCCAAGAGACGAAGGCCCCCAGAGAGGCCACCCTGCTCCTCTCCTGGGATCATAGGTCCGGGTGGGGCCAGACTTAAGGGGTGTTGGGAGCCCTGTCCTGCAGCCGTGAAGAATAAGCTTGCCTAGCTCCTGTGTGCACATCGTATGATTAACAGACGCTCTGCTGAAATCGGTGGGATGTCAGAGTCTCAGCTCAGCACAGGGGACCCAGGGATGCTCCACATATACACATGCATGCAAAACAGTATACACATATAATAAAAATTAAATAAAAAATTTAAATTATATATGTATATATAAACTCATATATATATATATATACATAGTATGTGTGTCTGTCTGTCTGTCTATGTCTGTGTGTATACATGTGTACATGGAGGCCAGGGGATGACCTCCCTGCCACTCATTCCTCAGCAGGCATCTACCTTGTTTATTGGGACCAAATCTCCCTCTGGGACCTGGAGTGACTGATTAGACGAGGTTGGGATGAAACCAGGGATGCCCCTGTCTCTCCCTCTCTATCCCTAAGAGTAGAAGTATGCTCCCAGCTTTGCTTCCCACCCCCCCCCCATGGTTCTGGGACTTGAACACTTGAACTCAGGTCCTCGTGCTTGCAAGACAAGATTGAACTATCTCCCCAGCCCCGCTGCTGTTTTGCTTGCTTATTTAGTTGGTTGGTTAGGTCTGTTTTTAAGACTGAGGCTCACAAGCCGGGCGTTGGTGGCGCACGCCTTTAATCCCAGCACTCGGGAGGCAGAGGCAGGCGGATCACTGTGAGTTCGAGACTAGCCTGGTCTACTGAGCAAGTTCCAGGACAGCCTCCAAAAGCCACAGGGAAACCCTGTCTCGAAAAACCAACAACAACAACAACAAAAAGACTGAGGCTCACACGTAACCCAGGCTAGCCTGAACTCAACTACCTATCCAAAGACGACCTTGAATGCTTGCTTCTCCTGCCTCCAACTCCCCCTGGGTGTGGGGATTACCATATACCATTGCACCCAGTTTATGTAACGCTGAGGATCAAACAGAGGGCTTTTAGCACACTAGGCAGGCCTTCAACCAGCGGACATTCCCAGCCCCAAAGCCTTTTCCTTAAGAACAGAGTCAGAACTCAGCTCAGTAGGGGAAGACTAGGAGCCAGCCAACTGTTTTCCAATAGCTAACCAGACTTTTCAAGGATTCATCAGATCCCAGCTCTATTACCCTGGGGACATTTTCATTAGGAGAACTGTCCCCATGTTCCCTCCCCTCCACCCCCATCTAGTTGACTTGCTGGAAGCTTTCCAAAAAAAAAAAAAAAAAAAAAAAGCTTTTGTTCCCAGGCAGAGGAACTTCTTGTCCTCAGGCCAGGGCTCTGGGCCCAGCTTCCCGGTCCCTCCCTCTCCACTCCCGGGTGAAGTCAGGCCAAGGCTGGGTGAAGAGTTTACAGGGTGTGGGCATTCTGCACTGGAACAAGGAGTCCTCTTTTTGTTGTTGTCATTTCCAGACAGATAGGAAGTAAAAATAGTAAACATTCCTCGGCTCTGACCACAGCTGAGGAAGACGTGGAACCTCACACATACGGAGGCCCTGCCTTTGCAGCAGGTAGGAAATGTGAGGTTCAGGTCTACTTGACAAATCCCGAGCTCTGTGGGACCAGGCTGCCCCACCCCCACCCACGGCCTGGATGTGACCGGGTGCAACCCCACTGTTTCAGCTCTCCCAGTCCACGCCAACGGTGGCCTTCCCCTGCCTGTGCAAAGGCATGCTCCTCTCAGGTCATAAAACCCACTGTCCCTCGGAGTTAGAGCAGTCAAGGACAGTTAAGTGACTGTCCTTCAAAGATAAACCCTCCCCTGCCCCTGCTGTGGCAGAGTTGGGGATGGGGGCACCGGTCTCTAGGATGCAGACATGAAAAGCTTCCTCAGGGGCTAGAGAGATGGCTCAGAAGTTAAGAGCACTGGTTACTCTTCCAGGGGTCCTGAGTTCAATGCTCAGAGTTCAATTCCCAGATGGTGACTCACAACCATCTGTAATGAGGTCTGGTGCCCTCTTCTGGCCTGCAGACAGAACACACTTTAACACCTCCACTCCACTTACTGAGGTAGGGGAAGAGGAGGAATAAAAGCAGGCACAGGGCTGCCCTCTCTGAGTGTGGAAGACAACGGAATCCCTTCTCTAGGAGACCTCTGGGCTCTGCAGAACCTTCTCTGTGGTTCTCCCTGGACATCTTTTATTTCCATGCAGGTCAGTAATCTGGGATGCCATCTAAAACCAGCGTCCCTCCAGCTTCTTCCTTTTGAGAACCCCACTGCTCTTCCAGGGGGCCCCCTAAGAGCCTGAAAAGATACCGCAGTGGCAGGCTCACCAATGCTCTGCGGAAGTCGTGGGAAACGCCCACGGGGCCCAGAGACCCTTCTCCAGGCACAGGCCCATGGGAGTGCAGCCGCAAAGCCCTTGGGAGTAGACCTTTCTGCACGACTTTGACCTTTCCGTCCTTGCTTCTCTGCAGCTGTGATAAAATGCAGACTGAACTAACTTATAAAAGAAAGTGTTAACCCGGTGTCACAGGGTTAGAGTCCATGACCACCGTGATAAGGAGCAGGGCAGCAGGCAGGCAGGCATAGTGTCGGAGCAACGGCTGAGAGCCTGAGACACAACTAACCGACCACAAGGCAGAGCAAGAGAGGGCTGCCAGGGAATGGCACCAGTCTTTGAAAGCCTCGAAGCCTGCCTCA